AATAGAAGAATTTTTTACCCTTCAGTACCCAACAACTTACCTGTCAACAGTGTTGCAAGGGTTGTTCAGCAACTTTTTATAGTTGCCTGATTTCCAGCTTTACCTTCTTGTATGTGAATGTTAAGTGCTGCATCTGGAACTGCATCCTGAAGAGCAGAGAAAACACTGCAAGGTTCAAAATGGGACCTTGTCCACCCTGCCACCCATCTGGAGGCTCCCTTTTCCTATAAAGGATGTCATTTCATCCAACTAAATTCGTTTGAAATGAAAGAACTAGGTCAAAGCAGTAATCTAAATAACTCTGATATTATAGTTAGCACTGCTATTTATATATCTACTCCAGAGAATGTCCTTATCCATTTCACTTCTGGCCACTGAGCTGCATTTCAGCAGGTAACTGGTGGTGTGTGCTCCACCCAAGAAGCAGAACGGAGGCACCTGTTTCACTCCCCCCATGTGCTTATGTGTTTTCTTCTAAGTCTAGTTATAAGTTTGGAGAAAAAGGATTGCCCATAGTCATTTTTTCATACTTATTTTATGGTGGACCATTTTCTATTTAATTGCTTTATATGCTCCTGGTGCTGCAGTGTAATATGGGAAGTGCTCTGTCGAGCAAACCGCTCAGAAGCTGGTGCAGTGTTCAGTATTTTTATTGTTTTACTCAAGATAGTGAGAGTAACCAAACATAACTAGGATTTTTCTGGCTAATTTTTGGAATATCAAGATTACACTTACAGGAGGTTAACATTTGGCTTTGCAAGTGAGGAAGAATATTCCAGGAGGAAAATCATGTGTTCAGTGTGGACAAGTTGTCAAGAGCCTCTGAGAGGATGACGTTTATCGAATCATTGACTGCACAAGAGCAGCGACTTCAGTAACTTTGGGTTAGGTGGGAAATTCACTATAAATCACGGTAAGATTCAGAATCCTGCAGGGATCCCTGCTGGGATCTGAACTGAAATGTTTTCAGTATGGTTAGCTGAGTGATACATGGCCTGAGATAGTGACTGTTTAGCACTTCAGTGTTACTCGAAGGAGCTTCTTTTTCCTTTCTGCTATCAATAACCAAGGACTGCAGCGTCTGATCAATAACCTAGGACTGCAGCATCTGCAGAGCTTCCAGTAAGAGCACAGAGATGGCATTGGAATGGGATTTATTTTTCCATTATGCTGTCAGAAAAATAAAATCCTCTGTGTTTGAAAACAGTCTCAGTTTTAAGTTGAACTCAGCAGTACCCTGCGGCTGAAACATGGCCGTGTTTTGGCAGCAGGGAAGCTGCCATATGTTGTAGTGATAGAGCTGCCAATCTCCATCTGCATCCATGCCAGTCTCTGAAGCAGGACTTAGGCAAAATACCTGAATGAGTATATATGTAGCAATACAAGCAATTATATCTCTATAATCTTAAGGATATCTTAATGATATTTCTTCGTCATACACTTTGTAAATGCCACAGACTGCAATTCACTTTTGTTCTTGAGAGATGATGTAATAAATAAATCCATTCTGTTTCCTGTCATACAGAACTGATTGTTGTCTACCTACCAGCTTCCAGTAACCAGAACACAATTCCAAGCTTTGAATAAGTTCTTACTTATTGACTGGCTTTTAGTGAGCACACACTGGAAATCAATAAGCAGATTCTTTTTTTAGCATGGCCACTCATGCAAGGCTTCTACATGAGCGCATGAATGTGGAGAGGCTGAACATGACTGTTAACAACATGACATTTTCTTTCTTCCTTTAAGGGCAGTATAGGCTGTTGGTTCCTAGCGCTCATGGGTGACTTCCAAAGCTTTTAAAATCATCATTTAGCTCCTTTTAGTGTCTGAAATATGTTTAGTATCTTTGGACACAAAAGGGTATTTGTGTTATTGATAGACAGTAGTCTAAAGGACAGGCTACTTAGAGGCTGTGGTAGAGCCGAACGACATCTATGCAGCTTAATGTAAAATGAGATACACAACGCAAAGTAAACCCCTCAAGCAAAAACCTGCTCCTTCTTTTTGTAAGAACTGCAGTTGTTTCCCATTGCTGAGGAGGACAGCTGCTGATCAGGAAAGCTGAGTACCTCAGCAGTGACACATTCACCCTGGGACACGTTGTGAGACTGCTGAGAATTGCACTGACGGTGGCCAGTGGTTGCCTTTAGCATTTTTTTTTAAACCATTTATGTCCCTTACATCTGGAGAAAAAAATATTAAGAGATTCAATAAAGTTGCATGGTGGTCTTCAAACTTTGAATTTTTCGCCAGTACACCAGCTAAATTCTTCCAAGTTTCCTGAGCCATCAGGTCCTTTACAGCAAATGTCTTTATGGCAAGGACATCAATTCAGTTGTTCCCCTTGCCAGCCTCGTCATTTTCACTTTTAAATTCATAAAATCATTCTGCAGCGGAGCAAAACCACTGGCTTCATGTAATATTTTCAGAGTGACACAGAGATCTCCAAAGGAATTCTGCATTTTTGTTATGGCTCCCCGTCTCATCAGCCGCAGCTGAGTATTTCCTCGTGTTATTCTGAAACTGACAGCTTAGCCCGGGGATAAATTTCCTCCACTGGCATAAAGCTATTTAATGCTCTTCCTATTCCAGATGTATGGTCCTCAAGCAACCTCAGCGGCTCAGCTTTACCCTGAACTGACAGCCTCGTGTTGCAGTATTTTTAAGACACGTAAGAAACTTCAGGTTCCAGTTCTTCAGCAGAGGTAAAAGATGCTGAGGCAGGGATCTTGCCTGCCAAAGAACTGGGGGAGAGCAGGTCACCTATAACATTTGTATGAATGATAAGAGTTGTTCTTGCTTTCAAATAGTTCTTGCTAACCAAATCTTGGCTTTTGTTGAACAGAACATTTGTTTCTCCCGCAGATGTATCTGGATGACAGTGTCGTGTAGATGAACAGCCTTCTTAAGATCCTGTTTCACACAAAGACCATATAAATCTTTTGCATCGGGAATACCAAGCAACTTGCTGGCTAGGCCACGATGTTTTTCTTCAGTGTTTTCCCAAACTGAAAGCATATATGAACCTCAGCCAGATGACCCTGATCTCTTGCAGATCTTTCTGTGTTTTCTCTATTTCTTTCTTCTTGTTTGGCAGATCTGCTTTACATTGTTGAGGTTCTTTTTTATTAATTGTGAGTGGTTTAGTGATACTTTTCACCTTTTCCATGGCACTGATTATGTCAACATACTCTGTGATTTGTTCTTCCTTGGCTGTCAGCTTTCCATTAGGGGCTTCATTAATTTTTAAGAGAAATACAGAGTCCATTTGCTTCTCACACAGCAGTAGGGTCCCAGTTCAGATGCTCAACCTCTTCAGCATATTCCTTAATAAGGGTTGTTTTTGCCAGCTTCTGGTTAACTTCAGGTTTGTTCATTGTGTTCTTTGCTCTGTAGATATACTCCAGTGTACTCAATGTTTCAAGGTTTATAGGTACAGTAGAAACTGTGGCAATTATTGATGTTTTTGTTTGGCCCCTTGAAGAGCCTTGAGGGGTTCTTGTGAGTTTAGATTCCCAGCATCTTTACACGAGAGCAGTAATAATTCTTCCTGGCGTTGGAACAAACCAGCTGGTATTTCCAGCTTCATGAGCTGTTTTGTCTGCTGTCCTACACTGACCAATATTTTCACTTCCAGCAACATCAACCAGGTTTAGCTTCCCAATTTTAATAAGCTCTTACCCATCTATTGTGGTGTCTTTCACCTCAAAAGTAGAGTTGGAATGACAGGAATACTCACTCATGTAAGTAGCTGTAGTAGTTCTTTCTTCTACACCGCTTTCCAACATCTGACAGACTTAACTTTTGGTATGTACAATTATTTCTTTATAATTTACATCTCTCATTTCAGGGATCATGACACATCTGCAGTCTTTTCCCAGCATTAGAAATCAGATTCAGTGGATGAAAAAGTTGTTCATTATAGATGTCCAAAAGAGAGACTTTCACAGAAAATCAGTACTGTTCTAATGAGTTTTCATTTTTTTTGCATGATGAGGTTTTTTACGTGCTACAGGACCCTCTTTGCAGTGTTTTTCACTGAGTGAGGGCTCCCCTTCTGCCATGAAGCTCTGCCCAGTACCAGCCTGTCCATGAACACTGTACAGTTGTAACCCTGTAACTTCATCGAAGGTGGGACACAAGAAACACACCTGTATGGCCCAAGCTCCAGATACCAAGGCAAACGTGCAAGTCTTTGCTGGTGTTCCAAGTCCCTCCAGGATGGACACCAGCTTCTCTTCTCACGTGGTCACAGACCGAGGACCGCTCGGGAGCTTGGGTTGTGCTCCGAAGCATTAAAAGCATCACCTGGATGTTCTTGTGCTTCTCTTTAGCGCTGCCCCCACCCCGGCCTGCTAAGGCCAGCAAGGGAGCCTGGCCTTGAGGCTAGAGCTGCCCTAAGCAGGACGGCACCTCTGCCAAGCCATGCCTGGTGCTGCTCGGTGCCATGACTGGCTTCAAAATCACCCAATTTTTTATTTTGGCTATTCCGGCTTCCGGATCAGACCTCAACGTGCCTCACAGTGAGATCCGCCTGCGGAGGCCGCGCTCAGGGGCAGCACTGGCGCCTCAGGAGCTCCACTGCGGAGGCTGCCGAGAGGGCGCCTTGCCCAAGGCAGCATCTAGAAAAGCCGGGCTTGCCGCATGGCCGCATGCGGCACTTTCACCTCGGAGCTCGCCCTCCGCCCTCTCGCCAGGAGATTTTTTTGTGGGAAAAAAGCCGCATGAAAGCCCCAGGAGCCCTTAGCACAGGCACGCGCTTTAAAACGCTAAGCGGCGGCGCCGTGGGGCCTCCCACGTGTGTCTCGGCCCCGTCCCGGGCCCCGCAGCCCTCCCGGCCCGGCTCCCGCGGCTCCTCCTCCTCCTCCTCCTCCGGCAGGTGCCTCCGCGGGGCGGAGCGGGGCGGGAAGGGGAGGGCAGAGGAGGGACGGGGCGCTCCGCTCCGCTCCGCTCCGCTCCGCCCGGGCAGACGGAGCCGCGCAGCCGGCGCGGCTGCTGCTCCCTGCCGGGCCGCGAGGTGAGCGGAACGAGCCGCGGTTCGGCGCCGGGCGGGCCGGGCCGGGCCGGGCCAGGCCGGGTGGCGGGCGCCGCCGCCGCCTGCCCCGCGGCGCGGCCCTCGCGGGAGGGAGCGGGGGAGCTGCGCGCCCGCGTTGCCACGGAGACGGCTCAAACAGCCGCGCCGGGCGCCCCGCGCTAACGGCCGCGTAACGGCCGCGTAACCGCCTGGCCCCGCTCGGCGCAACTTGGGCGCAGGACGCGGCCGGGCCGGGGGCAGCCCCGGGGCCGCCTCGCCGCCGCCGGGGCCGCCTCGCCGCCGCCGTCCGTGGCCGGCGGTGGCGGCCGGTGGCCGAGGCTGGGGTCGCCGCTCTGCTGCCCGGCTCTCAGCGCCCGGCTCTCGGCGCACGGAGGGCTCGTTCTGCGCCCGCCGCTGCGCCGTTCGTGCAACGGGGAGCGAGGGTTTGTGCCGGCCGCCGGGACGCCCGGCTCCCTGTGCAGCGGTGAGCAGGAGCTGCCCTTTAAAATAAGCACGGAGAGTTAAAGTGGAGGTGTCGGTCCTGGAGAGAAGGGCTAATACATTTCTAGCTTGCCGTGAATTAATCTGTTTTAGCGGGGTGAGGGGAAGAGGATGCCTTAGGAATGTTTGCGAAGGACACTGGGGTTAGTCATGCTTGCATAAGTGCTAAGGCCAGTGTTCCTGTAGTCATCAAAAGATTGGGATTAGATCCACAGGCCAGAATCCGACTAGCCAGAGCGCACAGGGGATCTGCTGTATCCCTGTATCCGTTCCCTTCTTCCCGGTATCCGTTCCCTGAGGGCAAGGCCTCCAGGGGCTGGTCAGCAGCTGCTTAGAGGTTGCTCTCTGGAAACCAAGTTTATTATTTAACTAAAGCTTCGATAAATGCAGCGACGTGCTGAACAAACAGCATGGCCACCACAACTGCTTGATTCGCGCAGTGTGTAGCTGCTCAGTAAGGCCTCTGCGAGATTCAAATTTACAACGGATTAAAGAGAGACGTTCTCACTTAACGTTGCTCCAGGAGACCTCCTCTCGTCTCTTGTGCGCTTTGCAGCAGCTGAATAATTTGACAGCGTTTCTAGAGCACTTTGCAGCTGCGTGTGAGGTACTGAGGTAAGTGGGGATAGTCCGAGCAGCTGCACGGTGTAGCGGGAGCTCGTCTTTGAGTGGGACACTGAAAACCATGCGCTCGTACCAGCTGTTTCTTCTCAAGCATAAGATCTCTATGCTTATGGTATATATTAAATCATTAATATCATAATCGGTTGTGCCTATGAACAATAAAAGGTCCTGTATTTTATTTAATTTTCCTATGTGTTCAAGTAGGGAGAAAATTTGCCTCCGGGTAGCTATTGAGTTGGTAGATATGGGCCAAGTGAAACCCCTGTGGCTTAAAGCCACTCAACCAAGAAGAAGGAGGAGAAAGAAGTAGCATCTGGATTGCTTCAAAAAGGATCCCGTTAGATTTGCAGGTAGACTGCACGTTCAGTTCCAAGAGACAGCAGTGCTTATAAGGAAGGGAATTTTAGTATGGAAACTGGAGTGTTATCTATTTAACACTTTCTAGATCAGCCGCAATACATATTAATTGCAAAGAATGTTGCAATAAACACTGTCTCAACAGTCATAAAAATCAAGTGATGTGCTAGAAGTAAAGATGTCTATCCAAAATTGAAATTTCTGGACATTTTTGGGAAACAGCCTTGGAAGTGATTGAACTTAAATTGGCTTTGAACAGGAAGTGTACAGTCTTGCCACAGTCTTGCCTGACATTATCTAATTGAGCTCTAATATTCCTTGAGTCTCTCCTCTCTGTTAGAAGAGCATGAAAAGCTGTGTCTGAGATGGCAATTCCTCTTTAAAAATTGAGCATTGCTTCATGTCATAGATTAATTTGCCTCAGGATTCGAATTTGGTTACTCAAAGAAATCAATTAAAATCAAGATTTTTTTCCCCCCATTTCTGATCATTTTATAGATAGTAAGAGGAGCAATAAATTTGCTGTTTGCAGTAAGAAATAATATAGTGTAAGCATTTGTAACAAATAAAAATCTGGACTTCTGTGAGCCTGTTCTTTTCTTTGTGTTTGGATTTGACCTGAGAAAATTCCATGTTTGCTTTAAAAAATGGTTATTATCTCCATCACTTTTTTTCCCCCTCTTTTTAATTCAGAGGGTGGTGTTTGTGCCCAAAACACATCAGCTAGGAGTGTCATAGAGCTCTGACACCGGTGAAGCGGTGTCGGTGGCTGGTGCCGCTGTGAGAGGCGCTTCCGTGGCGGGAGCCCGTTGGGTGTGAGGCGCAGGGTGCTGCTGCGGCGCCCTCGTGCATTCGGTCACCTCCCTGTGACTGCCTTAATGGCCAAAGATGGCAGAGAATTTATTGCTACTCCAGTACGGGGAAACGATGATCGTAAGTTGGACTAGAAATGGAAATTGGATGAAGTGACAAATTAAACCCTCGAGTGAGAGCAGTTGGCAGTGTTACCAGACGCAACTGAGCAAGCCTAAGTGTTGTATGCTGCAATTATGCTCACCTGTAGTAAACATGCAGTTGTCTCACTTCAGTTCTTGTTACTCTAGGGACTTATCCTCAAGTTTCTCATCTGTCTAGATTTCCATACAGCGCTTGCCGGAGTGCTCTGTGCTACGGGGACTCCAGGTTACTCCAGAACTGTTTGCAAACACTGAAAAATGAAGAAAGCCACTGTAATTTATAGTATTCAGGGAGAACTCTGTGCTGTTGTCTGCTAAGCAATCTGGCCAAGAGTAGAACTGGAAAATTGTTTTTCTTGTCAATATTTTTATCAGTGGAGAAAGACTTGTATTTCAACTGCCCATTTGACCATGGGACGTTTGGCCGTAGCTCAATTTGGATGTTGAGGAATTTTATCAGGCTCTCTGTGGATGTCTGGTGTTTGGTTTCCTTTCTCAGGAACAGATGTTTTGCACATACGAGCTGAACTAGGGTATCTTCTGGGCTCTGTGTTGTCAGAGGAGAATTAAATCACTCAAAGATGCTCTGTGGGAGTCTCCAGTCGTTTGGGAAATGAAAGATGTCGTTCCAAAATGTGTCCCGGCTACGGACGCTGTTCAGACCCCATTTACGTACATGCTGCTATGAAGCTATTGACTTGCTCTCAGCAGGCCTGCCCATAAAACTAAAGTGTGTAATAGGAAAACAATAGGATATTTAAATTGAGAAAAATAAATCAGATGCTTCCAGAACAAGTAATACTTGAGAATATGTGTGACTTCGTTATGTGACTACTCTGAACAACTAGGTAGTGAAGAATCTGTCCTGCACCGGGATTTCTGTAGTAATTAGCTGTAATAATGTGGAAGAAAATATTTAATTGTAAAGAATGAGCTTTATATGGGGAAAAAATATCATAAACATCATTTCATCTGTCTGTATGCCCTGAAGGCTGTCCTTTTCTGCAGCCCTCTGTCTCTGTTTTTCCCCACAGGAGTGATGTGCAGAGTGATGGTTCTTACAGGAGATGATGTTATAGCCTAATTTACTGTGTTTTTCCCAAGAATTGGCATGATTTAGGACATCTCTTCAAAGTGTCAATGTGTGTGTTTTCTCTGGTAGTCTAAACACTTTATTCTTCATTTTTCCTAATCTCTTTATATCTCTAGAATAGCCATTTATTGCCCTGTTCAGTAAGGATACACTTGAAATAAATTGTCGACATAACTGCTTTAGGCAATGGAGGGCTTTTGCTGTGCAGGTACCACAGCTAGGAATGATTGAAGTCCGTTTCTGCTGAGTTTATAAGAATAGATTTCTGTCCTGAATGTTTTTGTGGTTTTGTTGGTGTTTTTTTTTTCTTTTGAACTTTTTTTTTTTTTTAAGAGTATTGCTTAGATTAATGAAGTTAAGTGGACATGAGCAAGCTTATGGCCTTATGTCTGAAATATTTTCCATCAGAGTTCATTTCGGGTGAAACAAAGTTAAAAGGGCTGTTGCTCTTAATCATCTGGATGGACGTTCTACCTGACTTACCAAGACAAATCAGACAAAACCTGTCAGGGTAACACCAGGATATTTATTTTGTATTCTTTTCAGATGGCCTTTTTAAAGAGTAGTACCGAAACTACAACTGAACTTGTTTTCCAAACAGTTAATACCTTAAGCAGCAACAAGCTTTGAATACATCCTTCTCCCTCCCCACTATCTATACAAACCTGAAATTAATGGTGTCTTTAGAGCAATAATAGGATTCTCTTTTTGAAGGGATACATAATTGGCTTTTTTTTTTTTTTTTTGCATTTTGTATATGATACTTAGTTTTGAAAATCTCCTTTCAATCAAAGTGATCTTTATACAAGAATAAAAAGAAACAAGAAAGTGTACAAGAAAAAAAAGAACTGAGGTGCAAAGGACTTTCCAGCAAAGGACTGTGACTTTGATCTATGCCTATCTTGAACTGAAGCATGGAACTCCTTTAGCACGATACAGCATCTGTGCTCTCAGGCACACTGATTAGCTCAACTTCCGCTTTTTCTTCTCAAGCAAGTCAAATTCCAAAATGTTTCTGCAGCCAAAGCTGGTCTTCTAGTGTGCGAAGCTCTCCTGTGATTGGACCCGTAAGCATATGTCCCCCTTGGACCATGTGGTTGGATTCATATTTGGAATGCCCGTTGCTTTAAGACCTTTGATCAGATCTTTTTTAGTCGGTGCTTTCCATGTCGGAAAAGTCGGTCTTATTCCATGCTACCTATTTTTGTCTTGGGCAGAAGAGCTTTATCAAAGGCCGGTAGCTCATGAGCTCAGTGCAGCTGCACTTCCTGCAGTGCTCCTGTTCCACAGGATCCCAGAGCTGGCACGGAGCAGCCCTAAGCATCTGCAAGGGAGGAAACCTGCTGCAGGGGCTCTATAAATTCAGAGTCCCTCTTTGCACTGTTGAACTTTCGTTGATTTAGTGGTGTCGCTGCATGAGCGAAGAGAGTTGAGTCTCCCGTAGGTAGCCTTCTCGGTTGTGGTTAGTGGTGGTTTAAAACATACCCACCCCCAGCTTCCCACCTGCCTCCTCTGTCCATGCAGTGGATGTGGCAGAACAGGGCACGTACCCATCTCGGGTGGCTACGGACACCAGCACAGGGCATCTGTTGGAGCTGCCGCTGGATGTGCCTGGGCTCTCCCCGCAGTGGGGTGGTGGAACTAGAAGCAATGTCTGTGAATTATGCATTGGTTTTGCAAGTGCTCTCCCATGGCTGTCACCTCTGTTAATTAGTCCACGTTTGAGTACTTAAAGTCACTGTTGGAAAGCTGAAGGAGTGACTTTTCATAGACTGCCCCTCTTGTTTCTGTCCTATTTGTTCCTATGGGTTGGTAATGGGAGAGGTCTCACTAGGTGATTACCAAGTGTCCCACAGGAAACCACAACACCCCTTGAGCAGACAAGATAAAAATGTGATTAAGAAGGAAGTGATTAAGGGAAAGGGTAGTAGTAGCTGTGGTGATCTAAAGCTACACGATGGATAAAGCTTGGAGTGGCAGAGAAGGCTGTTTTGTTTGAGGGATAGGGGGAGGTGGTTACAGAGGGAAGAAATCAAGAGGCTGAGCCAGCTGCTACAGTACGTGGGGGAGAGAAGCAAGGACGAGGCTTCCCCAAGGGCCCCTTCTGTTCAGACCTGAAAAAGACTGGCACATCTAGAAGCTTGCCTTCCATTTCCTCTCTCTAATTGCATTTTTATCCTAATTAAAGTTCAATGATTAAAATAGACTCTGGTTGAAAATCTTTTTAGGATTTGTCTTTAAAGCAGGAGCTGGCACCCAAATGAAGGGGAAAAAGTGCAGTTTGGACTAAGGAGGAGGGAAGATGATAAAAATCTTCACAACTGTAAACTCGGAGCTTTATAACTTCCCCCCACATAATGTCTCAATTAAGCTCATTTTCTGTGTGTATCTCTGTGGTATGCACTTTTTTTCTGAACTGTTAGAAGCAACAGTATTTCTCACAACATGTAATGTATGAGATCTGATGGATTTATGATCCTTCATGCCTCTCCTCTGGATAGACAGATGACAGCTGAGTAAAAAGTGTGGTTCAGTTTTTCCTTGCCTTTCTGTCATACTTTGATGATACAAAAGGCTCTGTAGCAGTATCAGCTTCAGGATGCTTCTGGTGTACCTGCTCTCCTGCAGGAATACATACATATATATAAAAAATATAATTAATATAAATATAAAAAGTATAATATTTATATAACTATTTTGTATATACTTACACACACATATATAAATGTGTGCTTTATATGTGCCTTACATTTTATATATGTGTGTGTATATATATATGTGTATATAATATATGTGTGTATGTGTGTGTGTGTGTGTGTGTGTGTGTATATATATGTGCACACATGTGTCCCACATATACCTGCATATATTCTAAGCCAGATCGGGAAGTAAAAGAAATCCTGTAAGGCAGTAGTGCTGCTGAACTTCTCCTCCTGTTTCAGAAAAGACAGCAGCTGCTTGCTTTGCCTGCTTGTGATCAGATGCCTACTTAAGGAAGAAATATTTGTTGACCTCGTGTGCTTAGTGTTTTTTCATCAGTGAGCAAAGAAAGGTATTAAATTAGTGTTTTTATTTACCCTAGTCTTTTGCTGAAATGGAGTAAGCAAATATTGTCACAGTAGCTTGCTGTAAATAAACAGAAGGGTGTCTGGAAATCCTGCCCAGCTTTTGTGTAGGAGAGAGCAGTCACAACAAACTGCCATTCTGTGATGAACTGAAAACAAATAAAAGATGTGCCGCTACTGCTGGTTTCCAAAAGTGGGAAGAGACTGTGCACGAAAAGGAGTGAGTTAATTCTGAATCTTGAAAAAACTGGTTTGCAAATGTGGGATAAAGTTCAGTAACTTTTCATGTTCTTCTGCTTGCAGCCTTCTTGGAAGGTCCTAGGAAAGCAAATGCAATGTTTCTAACCAACTCTGGCCTCAGAGAAAGGTGAAAAACTTCTCCACCTGCAACATTAACTCTGGCAGACATTCTGAATCACCCCAAGGTATTTCTAAGGTCTTCTCTGCTGTGTTCGAATGTCTTACTAATTATTTATAATATTGTGGTTTGCTAAAGATTATCTTACAAATCACTTCATGCAGGGGAATCATTCATTTTAGTGTCAGTTAGGTTACTTCTTGTTTTAGGAATCTGTCCTCCGTATTATTCTGTATTCTTGGCATATTTCAGACTTTCCTAATTTTTGGTCTAATATTACAGCACAGAATGTTGTTGGTAGCCAGTATTCAGGTGAGCAGAACGTTTCCAGTGGTGCAGCTGAAGGGTAGGTATGTGCATCTGAGAGGGGTCTTCTTAAGTAGTGGTAAATTTGTTAAATGACACAAAACGACAACTTCAGGAATTTTATTCCATATTTATGTAGCAGTTCAGGTTGTTCTCACTGAGTCACGTCAGAGTACATTCCTAGCTCAAACCAACTATTTTCCTGCAACCACATACACGGCCCCTGTTCTGCTGTCCACCAATCTTCTTTTTCTTGCCCATATCCCCCCATGGAGCAGAAACCAATCTCAAGCTGTTTGGGGATCTTCACAAATGGAGAATCTTTTGGCTGTTTGGTTTTGCAATGGGCAAATGTTTTGGAACCAAACAGCTTAGAAAATTGGAGCCAGAGATTAGATGACTTTGTGACTGTGAAGGTAGGAAAAAGAAATATAGCCTGTTAGACATTGTTAATAGACTGAGTAACAAAAAAATAGGTGGAACAAACACAATTAACAGCTAAACAGTATCTCTCAAAAATTTGGTTTGATATCTGTGGACTTCAATATTAAAGTGAAATGTTAAGTATTTGACATGTTTTGTGCTGTACACAGAGAAAGGTATTGTAGAGATTTAGAAGCTGTTTAGATAAACTCGTTAGCTCATACCATGTCAATCTAATTATATGTGCTTTAAAAAAATGGTTAAAAATACCTTTGAGTGAAAATATTTATTGCCAAAAGGATTTTTTTGGAACGACAAAACCTACCATAGATAAAGTAAATATTTTTATGTTTTTCTCTTTTTAAATAAAGCTTAGCTTGCTTTGATATTGCAAATCAAAAATGTAAAATATTGTTGTATGTAAAGTATCGTTTTTGGGGATGTATATGCAGTTTAACTCTGACTTCGTTTCTTGCTGAGTGGATTGTCCCTTTTATGTCAGCACAAGTTGCTTTTGCTTGTGTTAAAGTTCACAGCAGCTGGAAGCAAATGTTTTACACTTGAACAAGAGTGATTATTAAGAAAGTAATCTCTGGTCATGCTGATACCAGCAATATTTAATGTGTTTTAAATTATTAAAAAATGCTAATGTGAGATCTTTGTGGATAGAAAAATATGCACTGTTAAGACAATTAGCAGCATGAGGTATAGCCAATTAAAACTCTCAATCTAATTTTTTCTGCTTTTTTCTTAAAAAAAAAGGCCTAATAACTGTATAGAGTGTATTTATATATAAAGTAATAAAATGTATGTATAGTGTAAGAGTACTAACTGAATGCTTCAGACTGTACAGAGCATCATGGGTCTTTCAGATTTAGATACTTCAAATGTATCCCTGGGGAAAAGATCTGAGGGAATAAACCTCTACAGGTGCTTTTGTGGAGTTTCGGTATTGCTGTATCTAGGAAAAAAATCGCTGTCTTCTGGGTTGCGACTAGACTGAAGGCTACTGTTACTGTGGTGTCAAGTGGCTTAGCTCTTTAAAATGCGTCTTCTCCTGGTTTTATTAAATAACCCCAGAGTGTGCGTTGCACTCGCCTAGTAATGGCTCGGTTATCTGCAGTGTGACGGGGATCCAAATGCGTGGGTCCCGGCTCCTAGGGAGAGTTAGCGATCAGGAGAGAGACGGGCCTAGAGCCAGGTGGGAGAGCCCTGGGCTCCGTCCTGTGACGTGGCGCGTTGTCCCGTCGGGAATGGGAGCTGGGGTCTGGAGGAGAGTGAGCAGGAGCAGATCCTCCACCCATGACGGAGGAGGAAGCCCCAGCGGGGGGTGTTGCGCAGCATCTCTGCGGTCGCTGGGAGCGCGCATCCATTTCCATCGTGGAGATGAGGCTGTTGCAGAGACAACAGTGATGGAAGGTGGTGCAGTTTTTAGACCTCTCATACCTGGCTTTTATTTGGGCTGCCAAATGTGTCAACAGGTAATACTAGTTGATTTATGATTTGTGAATTTATGCAGGTTTTAGAAACAAACCGAAATACGCTGAACCAGGCAGCCTGTCTTGAAATCTGCATGTGTCCAAAGAATTGCTGGTATGTAAAAAACAACAAAGTCATTTTTAAGAATCTAATTGCTGGAACTTAATTGGAGTGATCATATACTTGTGTGCAAGATGTTGCCTTGAAGCGAGTTCCTTTGGGTATGTGGTCAAGGATATGACTCGCGTTATAAAATACATAGTGCACATCTTCAAAATGCATCTTGCAAGATTGTTATTACCCATCAGCTCCCCTCCTTCCTTCCCTTCCTCCTCCTGTTCTTCTTGCCCCAAGAGGATGGCTCTTGCTTGCTGGGTTGATGCGCTCAGTGTTATTGGCAGTGACCAATATGGGACGCTTCCTGGGAGGCTGTACTGGTGCAAAGACAGGTGAAGGCTCCAGATGATTTCCTAGAAGATAAGCCCAGGCTGACTCTACCACTCTACCACCAGCACAGGCAGAGCAGATGGCTCTTTTCCAGCACAAAAGACTTAGTGCCCTGGTATTGTCCTCTGTGTTCCCAGTAGGTCTGTGGAGCGCAGCCTCCTGGTCCCGCATGAGTCTCTGCTGGGCTCGTGCTGCAGAGGCTCACACACACCAGCAGCCTGTGCCCTCGGAGAGGAGGGAACAATTAATTCCTCCAGTAAATCCCCACCTTCACACCCGTCCTGAGTTAAAAGAGGATTATTTTTTTTTTCTCCCCGTTCTCTGTCATGGTTTGGAGACCTCTTTCTTCTTTGATGCAGTAAGTTTTCTGTCCTGGTCTAATCTGTTATCCTTTGTTCTCTTTGTCCAGTTTTTAACTCTACAGCTCTATGTGGTGAAGCTCCTGCATATTTTTTTGGCTTTGGGGTGCAAAAAACTTTTCAGACCTCTTCCATGCTACTTTCCATGTCTCAGATCAGTTTTTTTCCATTCTTTTCTAGTTTAGCCATTTAAAGTTTCTAGTTTAACCAATATTTAGAGCCAATAAATATATTATAGGCATGAATAAAACAATAAAAGAGGTTACAACAAAAGATTAGTGAAGATGATGATGAAGACTAAATTTTTCTGTAAACAATATTATTTTTTCCTCTGTGGAAGGCAGTGTAAAACAGAGCAAAGGGCTGGGAGAGGCTGTCAGAGAGACTGTAGCTGGGGTAACCAGCAACCTGACACGTGTGGGGCTCTGTTAATCTGTAACCATGGTGCCTACAGCACTTCTCAGTGAAACTCGTGGATGTTTTAATGAAAACTTGGCATAAAGGTCAGGTACTGAGCCCCCCTGTGTAGCTGCACAAGTTAAGCGCTTCAGATTTTGCATGCCCCACATCCCAATTTTGTGGAAAGGTAGCTGCTATGCAGCCTGCAGTATTAAAGTTGTGGGATGCATCTCTGCTATGTCGCGCTCTGATAAGCTCTTTCAGCCTTTTTTTCTTAAAGATAAACATGATATCTCACAGTGCAGGAAGCATCCTCACAGTTACCACTCCATGTTTAGCTGTGGCAATGTCAGTGTGTTCCTCATGATGGGTGTGTCTAACTGGTGTTTGAAGAATCCTTTTCAAATTCTCATGACTATCCCTTCGGGAATAATTCAGGAAGAGTTATTCCATGCAGCTGAGGAACCAGTGTGGTTGGAACCGTTAGTGCTGAGCTGTGCTGCCCGAGGGAGCGTACAGCCCTCAGGTATTATCCGTTGTAAGGCATCGTGGGCCACAAGAAAGCCAAGGCTGGTGTTCTGGAGATGCATCTGCACCAAGAAGAGATGAAACCTGGAGATCTTGATGTCTGTTCCAAGATCTAAAGGGAGGGACCTTCACTGGACACCAATTCATTTGTTGCCTTTTTTTTTTTTTTCCTTTTCTTCCCTATATCTGATGTTTCTGTCGCATGCCGAGCATCTTCCCTGCCCTTGGCTCTTTTTTCTGTCTTCTCTGTGCCTCCCCAGTCTGAGCGTTCAGCTCCCTTGCCTACCAGCTGGCCTCTAATCCTAGGATTTTGCCATACACAAATCCATCCCCCTTCCTCTGTTTCACACAGTTCCATTATCCTACCAGCCCTTTGGAAAAGAGGAAAAAAGAAACAAAATCAGAGCCATCTTGGCCTGTCTTCACCACCAGCTTCCAAGTCTGAAGCTTGGGCGTTTGTACAGAGAAGCTGTTTAGAACAACGTTGGCAAAGTCTTAGGCTAAGCTATCTAGCACTCTCCCCCCAAATTTGCATGTGTGGTTTGGAGTTAGTGAGTTTCCCAAGGGCAGGGCTGGATTTGGTCGCGTTGTTTTGGAGACTCCAAGAGACTACACAGGATCTAATTGACCTCATGGACAGGGGAACCTGCCTTGTTAAGCTCCTCTTATTATGGCTGGGGCAGCTTTCCTTCCTACTGCAAAGCAGGTATAGGATGTGGTGGAGTTATCTAGAGTCTCCACTTCCAGTGATGAAGTTACTAGGATTTCCTTTGCCTTAATATACATGGAAGACTTTTTGTGGGTGGAATGAATGTCAAGTAAAGTTGGGAGCAGCTCGTGTGTCATCAGCCTCTGTGTTACATGAGCAGTGTCCAGAAGGAAGCCATGGAAGCCCATCCATGTCCTGCAATAGTTGTTTGATGACCTGAGAAGTGCTAACAGGTCATGCTCTTAAGAACCCAGTTCATTTCAAGCACTGGATCAAACCAGGCTTTTCTTGATGCCTGTCTTTGAAAGCACACACTGAACATAATGGAAATATTCCATGCTGCTGTATTTATGTAAGGGTGGAGGGAAAGAGGATTCCTGAAAATACTCAAGTGACTGGCTGTGTGATTTCCCTTGA